AAAAAAAAAAAAAAAAAAAAAAAAGTGGGGGAGGCCACAAGCCAAGGAATGTAGGTGGCCTCTAGAAAGTGGGAACAGCCCTCAGCTAACAGTCAGCAAGAACATGGGACCTCAGTCCTACAACCACAGGGAATTGAATTCTGCCTAAAACCTGAATTACCAAGGAAACTAATTCTTCCCAGGCTGGAGTACAGCGAGTACATTGGTATAATCATAATCCAGGGTGCAGTGGTGTGATTATAGCTTACTGCAGCCTCAAACTCCTGGTCTCAAGCAATCCTCCCACTTCAGTTTCCTTTGGAGCTGGGACTACAGGCATGCAACACCATGCCTAGCTTCTGCTGACATCCTGATTTTAGCCTGTTGAGACCTCTACTGGACTTCTGACTGAGAGAACTGTAAGATGATAATGTATCTGCATTGGTTCAAGCCACTAACTTTGTGGTAATTTGTTACAACAGTATTACAAAACTCATACAAGTTCCCCTTGCCACTAAGATTCACACATACCAAAAACAGAGAATGCATATAACCTAAATTTTGGCTATAGCCTACTCACCACTCATGAAAACCCTGCAAAATACAAACCCAGAAGCACTACGTTGGGTTACTGGCTCCTAGCACCTTAAACCCAGCTAACGATGCAGGTTCTTCTTGATATTTTTATAATTCTGCTGATAATGTGTTTTACAAAAAGGATATTTTTGGTCTCCAAGTATGGCATTATACCCAAATTTTCCTGTATTGGTCAGCCTGATGCACTTCATGAGCAACGTCTTTTTTCTAAAAGTTCCTCACTCTGCCTTCTGCCATGTGAGCTGCTTTATTTATCAAGATTGCATTCAAACGTGTCAGTGGCTCAGCGAGGTTTTCCCAAGCAAACTAAGAAGAATATTTTTTCTCTAATTCACATTATCCACATTTTAATGATAACATTTATCACGCTGTATTATAAAATAGTCATATGACTTACAACTCTTTGAATCAGAAGATTCTTCCATAGTGCCTTGCTGAATTCTGGACACCTAAGTAGGTGTCCAATAATTTATTGTTAAATTGACTGATGATTTGGTCCTCAACAAACTTGGGGGTAAATGAATGCATGGGTTATGACAAAGCAGAAATCTAAAAAACTCTCCCACTCTCCCTCCCTTCCTTCTTTCTTTTTGCATAACCCAAAAATACAATCCTAAGACCCCAACCTGATGGATTCTCCCATTGGCCAATGGCATTCCAAAATTAACCTGAAAAACTAGTTTAGGTAATGAGGGGAAGTGGGGGGGTCAGCCATGCCTCATTATACCCTCCTCCCGCTGGAATTTAGGCAGAGCTGACCAGCATTAACATCAAAGTAGAGACTTTAAGACTGATAGAACAGGCTCTTTAAGTCTGATAAGAAACATCTACAGGCCAGGCAAAATGGCTCACACCTGTAATCCCAGCACTTTGGGAGGCCAAGGCAGGCAGATCACTTGAGGTCAGGAGTTTGAGACCAGCCTGGCCAACATGGTGAAACCCTATCTCTACTAAAAATACAAAAATTAGCTGGGTGTGGCAGTACACACCTATAATCCCAGCTACTTGGAAGACTGAGGCAGAAGGATTGCTTGAATCCAGGAGGCAGAGGTTGCAGTAAGCCAAGATTGTACCACTGCACAACAGCCTGGGTGACAGAGTGAGACTCCATTTCAAAAAAAAAAAAACAAAAACATGCACAATCTATTCTCTCTGAAGCCTGCTACCTTGAGGTGTCATCTGCATAATACCCCTTATCTTAACCCAGACACTCCCTTCTGTTAATTCCAGATCTTTAGATAACAACTCTTTCAACCAATTGCTGATTTCTATGGTGTAATATTCCCATCACAGCAGATTTTAAGTTACTAGTATGAGGTCACTGAACTCATAGCTGGGAAAGATGTACTATTGGTTTTGGTGAGCCAGGGTGAGCTGGTTAAAACACATCTCTGATTTTGTAGTCCTAAATCACCGAGACAGAAATTTATCATCACTCCACTAGACCAGTAAAAGAACAAAGCCACTTTACAAACGTACCTATAAGTGTCTCAGATAATCCATGAGGTAGTCAAAATAAAAATATAACTGTCTTTTTCTAAGCCTTTACTAAGTACCTAATGAATAGCTCCCGGCACTATATTAATTGCTGGGGAAAATGTAATTCTCAGAGCTTACAATCTAAATGATCTAAACATGATTAATAGAATATGCTTCAAACAGAGAATAATCTTACCACAGCAGCAGCAGCAAGTTAACTGCTACTGAAACCCACAGGTAGGATGGGGATAGTTTAGGTGGTCTTCCTGCAAGAGGTAACATGGTTCATCACTAGGCTTTATTGGAAATACATGACTTGGACTAGCAAAAAAAGAAAGAATACCATATTAGAGTAAGAGAAGGATACAAATGAAGGGAAGAAAGTAGGAAAGCAAAGGGCACCGGTGAAAGCTCACAAACTTAACATCAGTGGCAACAATGGGCACTGTGTTGCTTCATTTGCAACGTACAAATTCAGGTAGGTATGCCTCTTTTTCAACTATGAAAGTGGCTAAGTGGTGCTTCTCTGGCACTAAACAAGTACACCCATTCTGTTTTTCTGCATGTAGCTGACAGTGAACTCAGAAGTCAATTCTCTATTGACATGTTTTATAATTATAGCTTCCTTATAGATTTCTCAGGCTGAGACATAACGCTTTCAAATATCCAGGGTGTAGATCATAGAGATGCTTAACAACTATGATCTACTTCTACTTGCTGGTCAGAAAATGTCTACCCAAACTTTATCATTACTGGTCAAGGGCCAGATAAATAGAACATGCCCATTTGGGTTCCTTTGAGTATCTGTCCATAAAGAACACACAGCAATACTGGGTAATTCTGAGGCTGATAAACAGGTAAGATGTATAAAGTATCTTATCCACAAAGAATTCAGTGTTAGTCTGTCAAGTCAGTTCTCAACCCTCACATAAAATTGTTGAAAGACAGAATTTTCATGTATACATTAATTTTCATGATTTCTTTGTATCTAACCAATTTAGGTATTAGGTATTATTATTATTATTATTATTTTTTGAGACGGAGTTTCGCTCTTGTTACCCAGGCTGGAGTGCAATGGCGCGATCTCGGCTCACCGCAACCTCCGTCTCCTGGGTTCAGGCAATTCTCCTGCCTCAGCCTCCTGAGTAGCTGGGACTACAGGCACACGCCACCATGCCCAGCTGATTTTTTTATTTTTAATAGAGACGGGTTTTCACCATGTTGACCAGGATGGTCTCGATCTCTTGACCTCGTGATCCACCCGCCTCGGCCTCCCAAAGTGCTGGGATTACAGGCTTGAGCCACCGCGCCCGGCCCCTTAGGTATTATTTTCTTTTACACAGACAGCCCCAAAATAAAGAATAATACACAGAATACAGCCCATAGGTTATATCAATTTACTTCACGTAAGAAGAGCATAATTCAGGCCTTTTCCATTGAATAACAAAAACAATCTGTACAGAAAACCCAAAGGCAACCACATAGCATATGTAAAATGTGCAAATACACTTTAAAATGCAAGTTATTCTATAGCATCTGCAAGATAGAATTTCATCGTAATTAAGGAATCTACTTCATTCTAACTTAATATTCTTTTGCTTGTATAGCCAATGCAAACCTACAAGGCACAACTTAGCACTGATGCTACAGTGTGAAACACATCCTCAGATCATTTATTTGAAGATATTAAAATAATATCATGTTTATTATTTTTTAATGAGTCATGAGCTCATTTCTAAAGCTTCATAAAGCATTACAATGATAACATATGTGTGGTCAGAACAAGCTGTTCCCTGAACTTAAAAGGTGAAGGATAAGACTCTATATTGTTATCCTGTATTAAAAAGAAATATACATATATATACACAGACACCCCATATCACAGACAAGAAACTTCCCATAATCCAAAGGGAGGCCATTTCCTTATTAGCAAAGGTATGCATTACAGTATTTCATGACAGTTAAAAATTACACACTTACCACCTGTTTTGGTCAATCTTGCTACAAAAAGACACTGAAGTAGACAATTTTCTTCAGTAAGGTAAAGACAATGTCTAATTTAGAAAATCCTCCTCTTGAGATTGCACAGTGAAAGGTATCATTTAATTAAATATAAAAGCGTACTACTTTTTTTTTTTTTTTGAGATGGAGTTTTGCTCAGTCACCCAGGCTGGAGTGCAATGGCAAGATCTCGGCTCACTGCAACCCTCACCTCCCAGTTCAAGTGATTCTCTTGCCTCAGCCTCCCAAGTAGCTGGGATTCCAAAGCTTACTGCTTTTAAAGAAATTATTTAAATCTACACAGAAAAAAATATCAACTTATTAAAAACCAATAAGAGCACTGTCTATAATTCAAAATCTTTCAAACCCAATCACAGTGCTCTTTGCTGTTTATTGCCCATCCCTGAGTGAAGATTCTATCATTTGTAATTTTTTAATAAAGTAAACAAATTTTACATTGATAAGAAGTTTAAGAATTTTTTTGAAAATATAAAATAAACCCTATATCATTTTAGTAAAAAAAGAAAAGATAAATGCTCTTTGCAAAGACCACCATACATAAAAATTTTAAGTATTTGTATGTCAATCAATTTCTGACATTCTTTTTACTGGGTAATTTCTATTTTTTGCCATTCATATATATCGCTCATTTCCTCATAACCTGTTACTTTGTACCTTTTGTTAATAGGAGTATTTAATAAGTAATGGAGGAATAGTACAATATAAAACCTAATGGAACTCTGAAGTGAGATGTGTATTTCCCTGTGGTAAAAGAGTTTTACTGGAAACAATCTGAATGTGATTCAAATAGACAAAAATATCTATGAAAGAAAGAATACATATGGTAAGCATCTTCCTTGTCTTTGGGTTAGCCTTCTTGACCAAAATCTTCTGTAAACTTCTTTAATTTCAACAAGTCGTGTTCATTGACTGTAGGTTTTGTGTTAGATAGTGACCGCAACATATCCGACTGTCGGGGGAAAAAAGAGGGGCGGAGGGGAAGATATTAATAATAGATTTAACAAAATAAAAAACCATCATATTGTCATTGCTACAAACTTTAACGTAAGTTTAAATATGAATATTTGCAGTGTGCCATAAGATACTGACAATAAACTCCTTGTTCTTTTTGAGTCGGAGTCTCGCTCTGTTGCCCAGGCTAGAGTACAGTGGCGTTATCTCAGATCACTGCAATCTCCGCCTCCCGGGTTCAAGTGATTCTCCTGCTTCAGCCTCCCAAGTAGCTGGGACTACAGGTACCTGCCACCATGCCCAGCTAATTTTTGTATTTTTAGTAGAGATGGGGTTTTGCTATGTTGGTCGGGCTGGTCTTGAACTCCTGACCTCAGGCGATCCACCCACCTTGGCCTCACAAAGTGTTGGGATTACAGGCGTGAGCCACTGCACCTAACCCCTATTCTTTCAAAGATCTTCCATGATCATTGACCATGATATTCCTTTGTGCAGAAACTTACACTTTCTTCCCTTGAACTGATCCAAATGGCTCCCCATTACATATCAGAAGGACAGTCCTCTTAGTCTGAGGATCAAGGCCTCCAAACTATGTTCATGATCTAATTTCTGGCCTTATCTCTCTTTCTTAAACAAGAGATCAGTTTTCCAAGTAAGTATAATTCAAAAGGAAAATATCATTCACTTATACTTAAGTGAAGCAGAGTACCATTTCATGAAAAATAAACTAATCAGAATTTTTAAACAGTTACAATTAAGATCAAAATGGCTAGGGAAATATGCTAGTATCAGAGATTCACTAAAAAATTAACGTCTAAGCCAAGACTCCTGTAAAAGGATATGAAAAATAATAAAAAGGACCATAAGTTACTAAAAATTATTCAAAGCTGAACAAAGTACAAAAAATAAAAAATAATACACCAAGGATTAAAACAAAAGGGGTTTCTGAGTAACTTCTCAGATAAGCATTATGGTTAGTTCACACACAAAATATGGGCGTGTGCACATTTACATGTATGTCTATATAGCATGTAAAAGTTTCTCCTCTCGAAGTTACTATTAAACTTGCCATTAAAGGTCTTTGAAGATCTGAAACTGACAGAAAATTTCGAACTGAGAATGTTCTTCCTAAGAAAAGTACTTTTCAATTACCCCAAGTTCCCTAAAAATAATATGCCTTACAAAGTAAGTCTTGTAAATTATTTTAATTCTGCCAATATAAATTATATAACTGTTTTTTAAAATGTTCTATTTAAATTCAGTTAAAATTTTAAAAAACTACATTATTTAAATTTTCTATGGAACTTTGAGAGGTAAAACAGAAAACACTATAAATATGATGATACAAGCATTAGTTTTTTTTTTTTTTTTTTTTTTTTTTTNTTTTCATTGGCTAAGAAGTCACCACTGTATTCCAGCCCAATCAAGTTAATAACCAAACTCTGATTCCCAAGTTTGAGGGTCATTTCTCTTTTTTTAAGACAAATTCTTGCTTTGTTGCCCAGGCTGGAGTGCAGAGACACGATGTCGGCTGCCTGCCTGGTTCATGTGATTCTCCTGCCTTAGCCAAGTAGCTGAGGTTACAGGTGTGCACCACCCTGGTCAGCTAATTTTTGTATTTTTAGTAGAGATGGCATTTCACTATATTGGCCAGGCTGGTTTCAAACTGCTGACCTCAAGTGATCCTCCTGCCATGGCCTCCCAATGTGCTGGGATTACAGACGATTTCTGGTTATTTTTAAAAATCTGACATAGGACAGGGAAAAAAATTTTCACAAATCCTACTTTTTAGTTAGGTGTTGACAATAATTATACTATGTATGAGCATTGTGGAGATATTCTAGCCATAAGACCTGTAAAGTCAGAAACTTGTGCTTTAAAAAATAGCTTTTTCACTTCAAGTTTCCTCAAAGCCCAAGAAAATAGCCTAAAAATAATTATTTTTATATTTTAATTTCAATTACTTTATCATTTTTAATGTGAGTCTGCAGTATAAAGTAAAATACACCTGTTTATACTAAGAGTTTCCAGCAAATCTTAAATAACTGAAAATTATAAAGTATAATGTTTTAAAATTTTTCTTAAAAACAAACAAAATTTCAAACCATGGAAACAACTGGCTCCAAAAGTTTATCTCCAGGAACATCCATCCATGTCATTTCAATGGCACCAGGGTCACCTGGAGAGCAAGGTGTTAGCAGATCATCTACGATACAGTTAGGATCAGCTCGGGAAGGTCCGCGAACCTGAAATAAACAGTAATCTGAAATATTTATTTAAACAAATTGAACATTAAGATTTAATCCATTATCAGGAAAGTTAAAATGTATAGTAGTCTTGTATGTTTTATTAGAATGTTTACTTTCTGAAAAAATGTTAAGAATATACAACAAAAAGTAGTTGTCCCTGGGTAAAGGGATAGATTTTGGCTGCTTTTAAAAGTTTTTTGTTTTTATTTTGAGAGGGAGTCTCACTCTGTCACCTAGGCTGGAGTGCAGTGGCACAATCTCGGCTCACTGCAACCTCCGCCCACTACAACCTCCACTTCCAGGGTTCAAGTGATTCTCATTCCTCAGCCTCCCAAGTAGCTGGGATTACAGGCACATGCCACCACACCCAGCTAATTTTTTTGTATTTTTAGGAAAGACAAAGTTTCACCATGTTGGCCAGGATGGTCTTGCTCTCCTGACCTCGTGATCTGCCTGCCTCGGCCTCCCAAAGTGCTCGGATTACATGTGTGAGCCACCACACCAGGCCACTTTTAGTTTTTTCCCCAATGCTTTTCTATGTTTTGAAATTTCCTACAATAAACTACTTACTTGATCATAGAAGATGAGTTTAAAAAAAAAAAAAAAAAAAAGAAATAGTTAACTGTGGCTAAGCCTTCTCTTTTTCCCCTCTAGTCGTTAGTAAGTGGTAGTAATGTTAGAGACCAAAAACAGATATATTAAAAAATTCTCAGAAGTTTTTCTATAGCTGAGAAACTTCTGTAATATTTGGAACTTTAGTATGAAACTACTAAATCTGTCTCTTTCAACAAAAATGCTCTCAAATCTAAGTACAAAATAATATGCTAATACAGAATCAATACCATTTTATCATGCACAACTTATTTATAAGTTTTAACAATAGCCAGAAAAAGAATCTTTGTGACATAGTCACATGCAAACATTTAGATGGCAGTAAGTCTGCATCGACTTGGGGGCACTTTCACATCTGTTTCGCAATGATTGACTTTAAATATTATCTCAGAATTGGTGTAGGTATGAAGAAATACAGGCTCTCACCTTACTGGGTGTATTTTACTGTCTTTACTTGCTAAATTTTAGCTGCATGAGGTTAGGGATTTTTGTCTTTTTTGACTGCTCTACTTTCTGATCTACCTCCGAGCCCAGATTAATATTTTAGACATAAAATACTAGTAAATGCAAAAAATAAACAGGGAACCTTGTTCTTGTTCATTGAAATAATCAGCTGTAAAAGGAGTAAAGGACAGAGCCGCAGAGAGATCTGCTGCAGCTGGTGATCCCTAGCCACAGAGATGAAACTCATCTGGCTGTGTCACCATCATCCCACTAACGAGGACCTGGCTTCAGCATCACGTGAGCTTACCTGGCAGTAATATGCAGAACTGAGTGATAAATTCTCAGTAGGAAAGGACTGAATTCCCATACATGTATAGTTTCTAAATGGCAAAGAGAATTTAAGAGAAAACAGTGGCTGTGGCATAAACTTAACAGTATTTCGGTAATTAAATGGCTGAAAAAGTGTGGATGAGTATTGTATCACTTCATTATCAGAAAGGACTTCAAAATAGCATTATCATCCCCATCTTAGAGATGATAAAAATAAGCCTTAAAGAAGTAATAGAATTTGCTCAAGGAGGTATAACAAGTAAATAGTGCCAGACTTCAAATTCAGATTTTAATTCAAGCTTGTAACTTAAAAAATCTTATTGTGGTATATGATAAACATACATATGTGACTTAGTCATATTATTAAAAGCCACTTACCTTTTTAAAATGAGTAGCTGACTGTACTTTTCTAACAGGCTGCATAAGTGCATCACGTACAATGATACTTATATCTGCCCCTGAGTATCCATCTGTTTTCTTCCCGAGTTCCCGAAAGTCTGCTTCTGTTAGACTGTTCTGAGTGGTCCCCAGGTGCAGTTTAAACATTGCTGCTCGGGCATGGGGTTCAGGCAAAGGAATATAAATTCGTTTCTCAAATCTTGAAAGAGAAATTACATCAAGAATATATTTTAATTGAAAATCAGGATATTTGCAAGAAGAAACAGATATTAAGTGGGCCTGTATGTGCCAAAGTTAAATATATATGTTGAGGTTAGATAAGGGGAGAGAATCCAGAACACATTAAAAACAAATAAAATCAAAATAGCCTGTAAGCTAGTTTGGAGTGGTTGAGTCATTCTTACATGATTTTTGGGTTATTCTGGCCACAGTGTTCATATAGCTGGAATTCATGAAATAAAAAGACATGTCCTAAAGGATTCCAGTTTCCCACAAAATTGTACTCTGAATTCTTGATTGAGGGACTAATGATTAACAATATAAAATAGGAGTAGAGATGACACAGCAATTCTCTACATTCGAAATATAATTAACTCACAATCTCGTAGGATATATATTTATTACACACATTTTGTGTAATAAATATATATGTATTCATCCATTTGAATGAATACATCCAGAACAAACAATCCTATATTATAAAGAATAAGCACTACGTTTCATTAACAGTAATTGTGCTTGCCTTCTTAGAATTTCAGTATTGGAGATAGAGAAGCAGGGATGAGGGATAATTTAAGTAGTCCGAACATACTGTTTTTCCTCCAGGTAACTCTGTGGCAATGAAAAGAATTTAAAGTTTCCATTGTCTCTAGAGATGGGTGCAGAATAAGGCCACTTTTTCAAATACAGCCTTTCCTTTCTTGGTACTGAATGGTAAGCTAGCATGCGGGCAAATCATCGAGTGAATGGGATAGAAGTGGCAAAAACTGAAGTGCTAACTTTTATCATAAAAAATAAATGAATGTAATAAGGAACTGTGACGAGTGAAAGAGAGTCCGTATACCTTTCCTAGAGCTGAAGTCATATATATATATATGTGTATATATATATATATATATAATTTTCTTTTTTGTTGAGACAGAATCTCACTCTGTTGCCCAAGCTGGAGTGCAGTGGCACAACCTTGGCTCACTGTAACCTCCGCCTCCTGCGCTCAAGCAATTCTCCTGCCTCAGCTTCCCAAGTAGCTGGGACTACAGGTGTCAGCCACTATGCCCAGGTAATTTTTTTGTATTTTAGTAGAGACGGGGTTTTACCATGTTGCCCAGGGTGGTTTCAAATTCCTGAGCTTAGGCAATCCGCCTGCCTCAGCCTCCCAAAGTGCTGGGATTACAGGCATGAGCCACTGTGCCCAGCCTGACCTAAATTCTTTACTAAAAAAAAATCTTGGCCAGGTGCAGTGGCTCACACCTGTAATCCCAGCATTTGGGGAGGCCAAGGTGGGTAGATCACAAGGTCAAGAGATGGAGACCATCATGGCCAACATGATGAAACCCCATCTTCTACTAAAAATACAAAAATTAGCTGGGTATGGTGGTGTGTGTTTGTAGTCCCTACTCGGGAGGCGGAGGCAGAAGCGCATGAACCCAGGAGGCAGAGGTTGCATTGAGCCAAGATTGTGCCATTGCACGCCAGCCTGGCAACAGAGCACGACTCCGTAAAAGGAAAAACAAAAACAAAAACAAAAAAACTTACCTGGTTATCTTATTTTGACTTATAGAATTGCCATTTTGCTTAAATTTTATATGAATGGTTTTTACTGTATTATCAAACTATGTTTGCAAATTTCTAAAGCACCAGTACCCACCAAGCTTAATCAGAACAAAAGGCAAGTATTAGGTAATATATTTTCTAATATGAAAGACTGAAGTATGTCGAAATCTTGCTATCTTTGATAAAGTAGGGAAACAAGCAAATGACCACCCTTCTCCCCCTCAAAGTAGGGGAGCAACAGGGTTAGAGCACATTACAAATATTTTGAAAAGCTGTTAGAATGCCTCCTCACAAGACAAAGATAATTATCTACTTGTTACAACTGCAGTGAGAAATAAGATATTTACTATATTATCCTACCTTCGCCTAATGGCAGAATCCAGAACCCAGGGTATATTTGTAGCTCCCAGAACCAAAATTCCATCATTGTCTACACCAACCCCTGCATTAAAATAGGTTATGCTTTAATTAATTTGTCATTTTGGTGTTCTTTATAAACCTCTTCCATATATTCTGTTAAGAAATGTGGTGCTTTACCATTCAAGTACCTCATCTTGAGAGTCTGTCTTTGGAAAAAAAAACTATTTAATCAAATATCACCTTACAGCAATATAATCCAAATGTATTGTGATGCAATATGATGCAAATGTAAGAATCAAATCTCCTAGATTGTGGACAAATACTATTAACATTCATTTCAAAATATTTCTTGAAAGATTTCATTTGAAGTCTACATATAGATTTTACAGATGTTGTTCCTTGTACATTATAAATGAATATATTAAATCTCTTTATTATTTATGTCAGTGAGTCCTACAAGATAATTACAACTGGGTAAGAATTACGTATGCATATGGAAGGCAATTAGAATGAAACACGGCAAAATGAAACAGTTTGTTAGAATGGAGAAATTCTGCTTGGTTTTTCATTGTTATAAAATTTTAAAAATGATTTTAAAAATCAGTAACATTAAATTAGCAGGGCATGATGGTGCGTGCCCCCATAATCCCAGCTACCAAGGAGACTGAGGCAGGAGAATCAATTGAATCCAGGAGGCGGAGGTTGCAGTGAGCCGGGATTGCACCACTGCACTCCAGCCTGGATGGCAAGAGTGAGACTCTGTCTCAAGTAAAAAAAACAAACCAAAAAAATCAGAAACACTACCTTGCATTTGCACTAGGAACTCCGTCTTAATTCTACGTGCAGCTTCACTTTCATTTTCACTTCTTGAACCACATAGAGAATCAATTTCATCAATGAAGATAATAGAGGGCTTGTTCTCTCTGGCAAGTTGGAATAAATTCTTAACCAGTCTAAAAATAAATACAAACTTTAAGTCTCTAAAAAATACTAAAAGATCAAAGCAATATACTAATATTATAAGAACTCCATAGATTAAAAAGCCTAATCATGTTTCAGGTACAGAAAATAAAAATGCTACAATTGGATGATTTACTTTATGATTTAGTAGGTTGTACATACAACTATCTTGTCCCGCAAAATAAAGTCCAGATTAGAGACTGATTTGACAGAGAAGTGAGTACATATATTACATCACTTCTCTGAATATCCATGAATAATGTAAGAAATCTATTAAGGACTGATACAGTGATTACAGGCAAAGAAAAAACTTTAAAAAACTGATTTATGACTTACTTTTCACTTTCACCTAGCCACTTAGAAACAAGATCAGAGGATGATATTGAAAAAAATGTTGAGTTGTTGGCTTCTGTTGCTACAGCTTTGGCTAAGTAGGACTTTCCTGTTCCAGGTGGCCCAAATAATAGGATTCCCCTCCAAGGTGTTCTCTTGCCTAAAATTCACATTTGGAAAAAACAGCATGAGAATTTCAACACTTAAGTGCAGTTACCTCTGACATGATCCATGCTGAAGAACACTGAAAAGATTTTCACTCTAAAGCTATAAGAATTAAAACAATATTCTAAAAATAAATCATATATTTTGTTTCTTCTAGTGACGACTTTATCAAAAATATACTTACATAACATAAGCCTTCTAACAGGAAGTACATTTGTTTGCTCACTTATTTATTCAACCAATATATATCAAAACCATGGCATGTGCACAGGCAAAAGGATTTCTGCCCTGCATGGACTCTAGTAGGGGAAAAGAGTTCAGCTAAAAGGTACTTTCTGATCATCTACTGTGTGCACGGCTTGATACCAGAAATACTGTACAAAAACTATATCCATAAAAAACGGGCAGCTAGAAGAGATTTTCTTTCAATATTTATGCCCTTGGGAAGAGTGAACCTAACAAAGTATGGATAACTTGTGAGTTTCTACTAAATTCTTTATTCCAAAGGAAAGCACAGATTAATGTTATAGGTAGCAGTTTCATGGTTGGGTAACAGTAAGGTGATACAACCTTAAATCCTAGTTTTGCCAAAATATAACCAGTAAATACATCAGCTCTTTGTGCCTCAATTTTGCTAATGAGCAATGATAATCCTACCTAAAATAAAACAGTCTGGGTTACAGCTGGCAGTAAACTATCAAACACACATTTAAAAAACTGCAGCCAGGCGCGGTGGCTCATGTCTGTAATCCCAGCACTTTGGGTGGCCGAGGTGGGGAGATCACAAGGTCAGGAGCTTGGGACCAGCCTGGCCAACGTGGTGAAACCCCGTCTCTACTGAAAATTAAAAAATTGGCTGGGTGTGGTGGTGGATGCCTGTAATCCCAGCTACCTGGGAGGCTGAGGCAGGAGAACCACTTGAACCTGGGAGGCAGAGGTTGCAGAGAGCCAAGACTGTGCCACTGCACTCTAGCCTGGGCAACAAGCGCAAAACTCCATCTCAAACAAACAAACCAAAAAAATTAATCCTGCTAGTTGCAAACTATGGATGTGTACACAGTATCTGCAAAAGAATGATATGCAGATGACTAATACTGTTCACTTACTGTTATGAAAGCAACTATTACTTGAATTTCATTTTCCTATTTTAAACGTATATATTTACCAGTGTTCTGAGTGTGGTATATATACCACTGGTATAACATGAAACAATTTTAGGTGGTATATAATTTTTATTTAAATAATTATATAGAGTATATTAGAAAAACTTTTTTTCCCACTTAGAATAGGCACAAAGCAGTCTGTTCAATAATGTCACTAAGTAAAATATGTGAGATGATTTAAAGTTCCGATACAGGCAAAATCATCTCTGATGTTAGAAGTCAGGAGAGAGATGACCTCTGGGGAGGAATAAGGCAGAAGGCACCTGCTGGGTCCCTGGCAATGCTGTTATTTCTCAATCTGCTTGATGACACTGGCATGCTTGCTTTGTGATAATTAAGGAACCCCAACATCCAGGGGCTCCTGCATGTCTCTGTATATTTATGCTATACTCTAATAAAAATGCTGTTCTAAAAATTAAGCAAAGAAAAACATTAAAAATTAGTAATGGTACACATACATGGAAAAATTCATGAAGATGATACATAAATGACTCATGTTTGAGAAAAACAGGTACAAGTAATATACCATGAGTTCAACCATATTTTTGTGTTTTTATAGGATTACGATGTCAACTTTTACACTGTTAGTTTCATATTCCTGAAGTTAGGTTGTAAACTGCACCTTGAAGCTAGGTAGACAGCGCGTGGCCTACAAGCTCTTTGCTCTTCATCACTGCTCTATACAATATGACTGTCTGGACTGTTCAGTCTGAGGCCAACATTACAGATTTGCTGCTGACATAACCAACATGTTTACAAAAAGAAAAACCTCTGTCTGACTGTCAGATTGTGGGTGTGGCCATATTACAGACACAGGCTATCAGTCAGACAAAGGATAATATAAAGGAATGGTTTAGCAAAGGCATGTCACTTACTGCTGGAACTAGAACTTGTAAGTTTCTCCAGATGGTAAGTCAGCAATATTCTCTTCATAGTGATAATGAAATGTCCTCTTGCTACTAGAGGATATGCACTTCCTCTGAAACTGTTAAGTGATTCTTATTCCTCTTTTCAAGAAATGGAAATACTCTTTAAAAATTAATATGTAACCATTGCAAAAAATTCAGATGAAAGTCAAAAGTAAAAATTTTCGATAATCTTATTCCTAGGCATACATTAGTATTTCTGTGTCAACCCATCTATACTTACTTCTCAGCATACACATTTAACAAAAATGGAATCATCCTATACAGGTTATAACTTGCTTTTTGACCTTTCTAATAGATGTGGACATTCTTCAATAAAATACAATGCAGATTTCAATTTATTAATGTATACATTCTGTTTTACTGAGTATATAGTATTCCACTGCATGTTGGTGAATCACCCTATTGGTTGACATTTAGGTTGTTTTACAATATATGTACACTGCAAATATGGATATGTATAAGAAATAAAACATCTTTGTATAAAGATATATCACCACCTTTTAACAGTCACAATTTATTTAGGATAATTCATTAGCGACAAGAATGACAATGTTTCACCTCAGTCATCAATGAACTTTTTTTTTTTTTTTTTTGAGACGGAATTTCACTCATGTTACCCAGGCTGGAATGCAATGGCGCGATCTCGGCTCACCGCAACCTCCGCCTCCTCGGTTCAGGCAATTCTCCTGCCTCAGCCTCCTGAGTAGCTGGGATTACAGGCACGCACCACCATGCCTAGCTAATTTTTTGTATTTTTAGTAGAGACGGGGTTTCACCATGTTGACCAGGATGGTCTCGATCTCTTGACCTCGTGATCCACCCGCCTCGGCCTCCCAAAGTGCTTGGATTACAGGCTTGAGCCACCGTGCCCGGCCATCAATGAACTTTTAAAAAATCATGAAATAAAATTATTTAAAAGTTATCTCACCTGTAAAAAGATGAGGAAATTTAATAGGCAGTATCACAGCTTCTTTAAGTGCTTCTTTGGCTCCTTCAAGTCCAGCAACGTCACTCCATTTCACATTTGGTCGTTCTATAACAATGGCACCTACAAAAAATTGTTATCTTTAAATTATGAATGAGTATTTCACCAAGGTTAGAAGACAACATGAAATAATGATGTTAAAGAAATGCATTATAAAATTGTCTGGGAAAGTTTTATGGACTAACCACCTTTTTGATACAGTGTGAGGAGGAAGCAGGTGTTAGGGAGCAGTCAGTAGGACTGGGAATCAGGGAGATGGCTAGATAACCTGGGGCATGTTGCTTTACCCTTCTGTTGCAGCTTCCTCATTTGTGAAATGAAAATAATACCATTTGCCCAAACTACTTAGATAGGTTGGTGCAAAAATCAAATGACATAATGAATATTAGAGGGTTGCGAAAAGCACCAAACGTTCCATGAGGTGGTTATATTTGAATACACTGATTTTGGAGTATCAAAAGTACTTGTTCTAGCATTTATCCTGTTAACTAAAAGAAAAGGTCATCTAATCCTCTCAACCACTGAAAAAAACATATGCTTAAGAAATTTAACTCAAGATAGGCAGACAGACAGAAGGGAGAAGAAAACGGAGAGAGGTTAAGGGAAGAATGGAAGCAGATGATGGGAAAGAGAGAAAGTGTACCACTTTAGATTTGCAGTACTTTCCTAAGATTTGTCAGAGTTTCTATTTGGCTTCTAAATAGATTTATTTACAATTTTTGTTATTTAACCAAGTTACCTTACAGGGAAGATTTAGCTTCTGAATGTAGTATATTCAAAAGCCACAGCAATTGTTGCAGTAAGAGTCCAGGAAGGATAAATTTTCTAGAATATGGAAATTGTTCCATTATAAACTATGAAGCAGCCTGTTCTAAGGTGACATCTAGTTGTCTTAAGTTTAACAAAACATCACCGCTTATACAATCTATTACTATATGAAATCAGTTCTACTGATTGTTTCTTCTTGTTAGGAAAGATATCTGTTGTTCTAAGACTCAGCAACTTACTTCCCTAAATTATGAAAATCTTTAGCTACCAGATTAAAATCAAATAAAACCACAAACATTTTGTATTCCAAAAGTTCGGACTATTAAAAAGTAAGAAAAAAGTAAATTCACTTTGTCTTTTTTATGTTTCATTAAGATTAGTAATCCTAGGATTTTGTGTCAGTTAAACAAAAGTAAACTTACTTCACATATGTACACCATCTGGCTAACTCAAGATTTCTGCTACAAATTTAAAATATGTCATGAACTGTTGTCATATATAACTAATATTTTTAAGTTAAAAGTTGACTTTGGAATGTTTACTGATAAACAATCTCATACTAGACATGGTTTTCAAAAAGCGGGGATGGGATTACTGAAAAATGCAAACAAAACAAATGGAATGTCCTTCCAATGATATAAATGTATCCAGACTTTGACTATACTATTTATTACACTAGCATATTATTTAATCACAAAAAATTCACTGAATAAAATTAGCTAACAGAAAACTCAAATCACAAACTGATTTTTAACAAATATACACTTAATATCATAATCTAAAATGAAAGTAAAAGATTAAAAATACTGTTCAAAAAAAGAGGAAACATTCAAAAAAGATATAATAGTATAAAATCCAGCAGCAAATCATTAAATTAAAAAATAGGGGGAAAAAAGGGTATTTAAATACAAAAGGCTGGCAGTACACGGTGGCTCACGCCTGTGTAATCCCAGCACTTTGGGAGGCCGAGCCAGCTGGATCACCTGAGGTCAGGAACTAGAGACCAGCCTGGCCAACATGGCGAAACCCTGTCCCTACTTAAAGTACAAAAATTAGCCCACCATGGTTGTGCACGCCTGTAATCCAGCTACTTGGGAGGCTGAGGCAGGGGAATCACTTGAACCCGGAAGGCGGACGTTGCAGTGAGCTGAGATTGCACCACTGCACTTCAGCTTGGGCAACAAGAGCGAAACTTCACCTCAAAAATAAAATAAAATAAAATAAATAAATAAAAGGCTAGGATTCCTTTCATATTCAATTTCATCCCGAAATTCCAAATACATTTCCTCATTTAAATGTTTTAAGTATTTTTATTTATTTATTTCCATTTTTGGCTCTTATAACTGATAGGGAATTTAAAGAAATCCCCATTAAAAATTGGTTTTATCGGCCAAGTGCCGTGGCCCACAATTGTAATCCCAGCACTTTGGGTGGCTGAAGCGGGTGAATCACTTAAGCTCAGGAGTTCGAGCGCAGCCCGGGCAACATGGTAAAACCCCATCTCTTAAAGAAAAAAAAAAAATTAGCCAGCATAGTGGTGTGCGCCTGTGTTCCCAGCCACTCAATGGGCTGAGGCGGGAGAATCCCTTGTACCCAGGAGGGTGAGACTGCAGTGAGCCATGACTGCGCCACTGCACTCCAACTGGGCAACAGAGCGAGACCTTGTCTCAGGACAAAAAAAAAAAAAAGAAAGAAAAAAATATTGTATCTCTTTCAAAATTAAAGATATACAACTGATTTTTACGTGGGGCAGGTAGGGAGAAGGAAGCAAAACCAAAACTAATAGAGCAGACAAAGTGTCTTGCTTTACAACAGGAATAAGGCTGCTTGGCACAGACCACTGTGTTACCCAGTAAATGCCAACTGAGTGTGCAGTGTGTGCCAGCAGTTTCAGGTGGTGGGGACACAGCAATGCAAACCCAAGTTTTTGCCCTTGGACTGTATCTACCACTGAAGTTCTTGGCATCTAAAGATGTTCTCTAACCTCATTACCTAGTCTGCTGTCAACATATTATCCTTACAGTGTTTTCCTATACATCCCAGTAGGGTAAGCAAGACAAAAATACTACCAAAAGGAAGACACTAGTATAGCAAGGCTAAAAGTTTGGCTAAGGGTTGGTATTTTCACTATTCAGAAACCAAGGCTGAACCTATATAATGGAAATCCTTCCCAGATATGCATTCTATTTGGTAAGATTCAAAAGAACAGAACACATACTACCAGTGGGTGAGCAAAAACTTCAATCCGAAAAATTGTTAATTTATTTCTAAAAATAATTAAATCTCAGCAACTGATGAAGCCAATCAACAAATAGATGCCTTTTTAGATAAACAGAACTACCATTTATTGAGTCCTTAGACTTCATCAGATATATTAGGTAGTTTTTACACTGTCATTAATCTTAAAACCCTGAAAGGAAGCTATTGCTCTTTTCTGTTTTAGAGATGGGGGATTCTGACTCTGAGAGGTTCAGTCATTTGCCCACAATTAGAAAGTTTCTAAGTGGCAGACCCTTGAACAGAATCAAGATCTGAATGGAGTCAGAAACCTATGTCCTCTCCATTATGCCACTATGCTATAGAGAACAGAATGAAAGGGCTTTACAGGTGTGGAAAGTAAACACAGAAAGCTTAAAGACTTAAATGTAAACAGAACGCTGAAAAGCAGATGAAGAAGAGCAGGTAAGGAAATAAACCATTAATTAATGAGCTACAGCAATGGCAATAAAAGCCACGTGTAAGTCCTAACTTCTTCCGCTCCTCTCACAGTAGTAAATTTCAATACCGTCAAATTTTGTAGTGTGCTAATAGTATAAACGTTACCTTCTCTAAACGGGGGCAAATAAACAAAATGAAAAAGCAAGTTGACTGAGAGCCTTTTAAAGGCAGATATAAAGCCAACAAAGCTTTTGCTATACAAAAAAGACCAAACCATGATGCTAGAAGGCAAACCCTAGGAAAACACTAAACAAAACCAGCACAGGACTACTGGGAACCAAAGCCAGTTCTTGAACCTCATTTAAATATAGAGGGAGAACAAAAACCATTCATATAGACAATTTACTTTGAGTATTTTTAATAGGATAGTAAATTTAAAAATGAAATCTAAAGCAACCTTGAAGTTGATTCTGTAGTTTCTTTTTTTCAGGATCATCAGATTCTCCTTCCCCATCACTGTCATTCCTAATAAAAAGAATTTAATATATTCAATTGATCACTCATTGCTATCAAATAAGGCAAAAATGAAGGAAAAATTAACCTGAAATAGCTATAATTTAAGTGGCAAAATCAGACATTTACATGAAAAATTATGCTTAAAGAATGTAGTAAATAAAAAGGCAGCAGGCACATTATCATCAATAGAGAATCATCTATAGGAAAGGGACAAAAAGACCAAAATGAAGTCAGGAACTAGCTCCAAATTCCCATGACATATTTAGGTATGTATTAATTCATAAATGCATGCCCCACACATCACGCCATGAAGGATTCAAGATGAATTACAGGAGAGTTGCAAACAACAAACAGTAAAAACATCAGGACTGGGCAAGATATAAATTAGAACAAGAAGTCGTATTAGGAGAAAAAAAATCTGGAACACTAATTGTCTAAGGTACAAAGGTCCACAACCCTTAGTCTGGGGGTTCTAAAGGATAGAGGAAACTGACAATGAACTCAACCCAAAGAACAAGTAGGTAAATCAAGGTACTTCATATCTAGGAATTTATCTTGAGGATATAATTTTAAACAAATTCAAGGATTTGACCATAAGGATAATCACACCCACACTGTTTGCAAAAGAAGAGAAGTAACTTATATTTAATTATAGGGACTAGCATATGACAGGATACACTGCAACATTTAAAAGTGATGTAGAAATAGTTTATTGGGGCCAGGCGTGGTGGCTCATGCCTGTAATCCCAGCACTTTGGGAGGCCGAGGTGGGTGGATCATGAGGTCAGGAGTTCGAGACCAGCCTGGCCAATATGGGGAAACCCCATCTCTACTAAAAATACAAAAATTAGCTGGGCATGGGGGGGCACACCTCTAGTTCCAGCTGCTCAGGAGGCTGAAGCAGGAGAATTGCCTGAACCCGGGAGGCAGAGGTTGCAGTGAGCAGAGACCGTGCCACTGCACTCTAGCCTGGACGACAGAGCGAGACTCTGTCTCAAAAAAAAAAAAAAAAAAAGAAATACTTTATTGAAGATGTTCCCAATGCAATGTTAAGTAGAAAAGTGATAAAGCCAAAAATAACGCTTTATATCATTTTTAAGACAATAACAAGTAGGTATAGCCCTGGTACTGCTGGGCATTTCTCCTAGTGATCCAAGTCTGATTCCCTGGCCCCACTCTTCTATACGGTAATACCCTATAATATATCCCTTTTGGCTTACATTAGCCAAAGAGGATCCTTCTGTTTGTAATGAAGACTGCTATTCAGTACAGGAATCATCTCAGGAGAGATCCTTACAGGGTTTTCAAGCAAGACCAGAAAAGCTTCTGTGGACGAGGGAAGAGAGAAGCTTCTGCTGGCCAGGGAGTTTCAGTGCAAACTGGAGGTCCCGGGCAGTCAAGGTCAACTAAATTCTTCCCAATATTTTCATTTCATGTTTAAGAGTCCCCGTCTTACAGTTAATGTCCTCACTTTCATATAAGAAACCCTAAGTTGAAATTCAACGACGCACAAGATCAGACTATCATCTGATTTTTGTTATGTCAATGCTATAGGTGAAGAACATAAGTGTTCTTAGGGTGCCACAGAACTCCCTGGTTCCCCAAATGCATCTTGAACAGAGAATATAAACCTTGAGCTTGAGCTTATAATTTCCTTCAAACTTTGCCACATAGTGTGAAGCAGCAAGTCAATGCTAGTTCTTATATTCCTCATGTCCTTCAAAATGGTCCATGGTAGCAGCCACGAAGCCCCCAAAGCACTGCCTAAAAGGCACTTCATTCCTTGTGACCACGGGGTATTATCTAAGCAACCTGCACCACTGTGTACCATGAACAATGAATAACACATCCTCTAAAGCTGAGCAGAATCTTGCCGCTTTCAAACCCAACCAGGCCAGGTTAACTCCATCCCAAAGTCTCATGTTCTTCCGGGCGTGTTACCTGGAACTATCGGCATCAATTAATAGAAGAGCCAGAGAAGATGTGGTTAGAATATATTCCCAGTACTGAGCACACACTTGGAATGCATATGCCATGTGCTGAATAAACAAATTCTGCATCTAGAAGTGATACATTCCCTCATCTAGGAAGACATGCCAAAAATTGGTTTTAGTGTTTATAAGTTATGCTGTGTTGTTTTCTTTACAATGACAACATAAAGCAAATCTAGTGCAAATTCACATCAAAAAATGCTGCATAAGATTTCTGAAAGAAATTTACATTGTTGGAGTTGCTTTTCATTTTTCCCATGTGGTCAAAGATTTAACTCTCAGGTCATTCCTGTAACCTTAAACTTCGATATTTGCTAACGGCCAGAGCACTGAGCATTCTCCCCTACTACTGGCAAGCACTTAAGAAGGGTTGTTTGAGGAGTATCATCCATTAAGCTTGGCAAACTAGGGGTCAGCAAACTTTTTTTGTAAAGGACCAACCAAGGAAATATTTTCGGTTTTGTGGGCCATACAGTCGCCACACAACCACACAACTTTGTTGTTATTGCATGAAATCAGCCCTGGACAACAATATGCAAAAGAATGGACAAGGCTGTGTCCTCATAAAACTTATCCCAAAAACAGGCAGCTGGGCAGCTCTGGCCCATGAGCCAGTTTGCCGACACCCGGTTTAATCAAAAGAAATTTATTTCACAAATTGAAAGCTAAAACCTATAGTAAAATCGAACAATTTGAAACACATACCCCTTCTCATCCGCTGGACTCGGCTGTCCCTCTTTCACTGGCTTCTGCGCTTTCTTTTCTTTATTTTTCAGGTACTCCTTTAGTTTTTCTGCTCTATCAAGATATTCTGTACACTTTGCCCTGATACTTTGTTTGGCTTTATCACCCTGTGCTTCATCTATTAAAGGGAAATGAGAGAGATTTTTCTCCATTAGTATTCTATGTAGAAAGAGTTGAACTCTCATATATTTTTTAAACAAGGAAATTCTATGTTGGGAGAAGGAGGAAAGATCACCTCTAACTCCTCGTAGCCAGTGATGATCACACCTCTTTTCTACTCCCTCCCTCAGCAGGGTTGGAGACCTACAGTGGGTCTGAGTCAGAAAACAATCTGAGGCCAGGCACAGTGACTCACGCCTATAATCCCAGCACTTTGAGAGGCCGAGGTGGGCGGATCACGAGGTCAAGAGATCGAGACCACCCTGGCCAAAATGGTAAAACCATGTCTCTACTAAAAAAAAAAAAAGTTAGCTGGGCGTAGTAGTGCGTGCCTGTAATCCCAGCTACTCGGGAGGCTGAGGCAGGAAAATTGCTTGAACCCAGGAGGCAGAGGCTGCAGTGAGCCACTATCATGCCACTGCACTCCAGCCTGGTGACAGAGCAATACTGTCTCAAAAAAACAAAACAACACAATCTGAGCAAGACAGTAGGGTATTTTAAGTTAATGTTAAATAATAGGAAATTATTTAATATTCCAAAAGTTTCATACACTTCCCTTACATTTTTGCAGATAGTTCCCAGTTGCTTGTCTTATACAAACCCAATTATAAGAAAAATGAATAGAAGGAAAGCAATATTAATCGATGGAAATCCCATATATTCTCTGTAATACCAACATCGTAATTTTACTACATAAAGGGCTCTGTCAGAGCTGTTTCAAAGTGAACTTTGGCAACACATGCAATAGATGGGATGAGCCCGCCAGAGCTTACAGGTTATGAATCATTCTTAGTTTCACTTTAATGTAAAACCTCAAAACTAAATGGGAGAAGCTCAAAAGAAAATCTTCAGTTATCCAGCTGCATTAGATTTAAGAGCCACGAGGGCAGGGGTTTTTATCCATTTTTTTCTATTGTATCCCCAGTGTCTACAACAGTGCCTGCTACATAATAAACACGCAATATGTATCTGTAAAGACACAAATAAAATGTCTCCCAACCTATTTTCCACTGGCTACACTACATTTTAAGATGTTTAGGTATACAAAGTAGTAACTATGATGGCCACATTTGCTAGCTAAGTCTCAGTATTTAAAACTCACTAGAAAGAAAGTGGAATTTTTTTTAACAAATGGATAGGTTAGAATTTTCAAATTTTTAGATATGAAATAGAGTAATTTTTTCTTTTTGTGTTTTTAAATAAAATATAACCTATGGCCTCACATTTAACGACATGGAGAAAATACTGCACAGCATGTTGGTAGAGCTGCAAGGCTTCTTCGTAGTTCCCAGCCTTGTCTTCTTGCGCTGCTTTGCTGGCCAGATCAATTGCTTTCTGTTTGAGGGAGGCAAAATAACTACATTTAAATCAAAGCATAAACAAAAATTTGAAGTAAATAATCATATTTAAAGTTTTTTTAAATAAAGCTAAGAAGCTTGCTGGGCTTTAAAGAAAACAAACAAAAATAAGTAAAAAATAAATAGCTACTGTAAAAAAAACATTTTTTTTCTAATTCACAATTGTATTTTATTATAAGTTGATAAAATGCAAATTACATTTGTTATATTAATAAATGCCACTGAATATTACTTTAGTACCAATCACTAACATTTACACATAATTTTCACCTAGCTAAGTTAAATTTAGGAATAATAAGAAATAGAATAATCTGAAAATTCAAACTAAAGCATTTAGGGAAATTTTCAAAAATTAAATGCTGCTTTAATCTAAAAAATATAACAATAGTGGAAATGTAAATGGGGTGAAATCCCTTCAGAAGCAATGGATCAATGAAATATCAAGAATCTAAAAAATACTCATATATTTCAATTTAGTAATTAACTAAAAGGTTCACTGAGCAAAGACATTAACCAGAGAGTTCTTTTAAGCAACAAAAACAAAACCTGTAAACTTAAACCATAAAGGATGCCACAAAACAGAATATCAAAGGATCACTAAAATAACACTGAAAAATATTTGTAATAACATGGAAAATGTTTATAATGGGCATTTTTAAAAAGCAGGACACAATTTCTTATATGTAGCATGAATTTATTTGAAACAACAGCAAAAAAAGCAGCACAGGAGAAAGATGGGAAGGAAATTTAACAGAGCTTATCTCTGATAAAACTTCATTGATTTTTCATTTTCTACTTCTTCACATCTTCTAAAAAATGTCCATAAGGAACATGGACTACTTTTGTAGTATTTTTTTAAAACCTCCCAGAAATAAATCCATACTAATAAAGCCAAGAGATTTTTGAAAATGATGAAAAAAGCCAGTCAACGGCACCGAGTCAGTCTTTGTAAAAAGCGGTGCTAGAGCAACTAGACATCCATAAGCGTACACCTACAAGAATCTTGACTTAATACTTCAGAAATTAACTCAAAAATAGATCACAGAATTAAATATAAAACTACAAAATTTATATTCTTATTTTGTTGAGAAGAGATTCGATCTCACTATCTTGCCTAAGCTAGCCTCAAATTCCTAAGCTCAAGTGATCATCTTGCATCAGCCTCCCCAAGTCGCAAGACCGCGAGTGCAAACCACTGCACCCAGCTAAAACTTTGAGAGAAAACATGGAAAACTTAGGATCTGGGGCCTGGCAAAGGGTTCTTAGATTTGACATCAAAAGCACACTATATAAAAGAAAAAAAAAAATGGTAACTGGACCTTATGGCAAAACTTTTGCTCTCTAAAAGATCCCTTTAAAGAATGAAAAGACAATCTATAGACTGGGAGAAATATTAGCAAAACATATGTAACAAAGAACTCGTATCTAGAATACATAAAGAACTCTCAAAATGTAACACAAATCTATACATGATAAAACTGCACAAACACACCCACACCCACACACAGAAAAACACATGAGGACAAGACTGACAAAATGTGAGTAAGAGTTGTGGAATGTATCAATGTCAATAACCTGGCTGTGATATTGTCCCAGTTTTATAAGATGCTACCACTGGAGGCAAATGGATAAAGAGAATGCTGGATTCTCCGTATTTTTTACAATTGTATGTGAATCTACAGTTTTCTCAAACTAAAATTTTCCTGAGGGCATGAGCCCTGTGCCCGGCCTACAAATAAGTTCTTTGTTATTCTAACTATAATTTTCTTCTCAGGTTATTTTGAAATGCTGTGGCACTCACCTCTTCAGCCATTTGTTCCTCTCATGCAGTGGGGCCTTACTGCAGCACCACACTGATTTTTGTCAATCTCTTATACTGCAGTTAGTATTATTTAAGCATCTAGCTCCAAACATGGTACTAATTAAGCCGGCCTTTCCCTGATGATGAGAATGTCCGTATATATGGCTTCTGAGCACTTGAAATGTGGCTAGTGTGACTGAGGAGTGGGTTTATGTAATTGAAATTAAAATAGCTACATGCAGCCACTGTACTGGGTGGCAAACATTAAACCTTTAATCAAAGATAATGAATTAAGAGGATATGCATCTGTTTTTTTTCTGCTGATGAATGCTCCACTTCAACCTTATTTCTGTCAACAATTTTCATCTGAAATAAAATTAACCATGTCTGTTAGCATTTTTCATTTGAAATAAAATTAACCACGTCTTCTATGGTTAACTTTGGGGAGCTAATTATTTTAACTTTGGGTAGCTAATTATTTTATTTTTTCATTCCACAAAGCTTTACCAGAGGGATCCACACAAAGGACATCCACCCCCTTCCATAGTTTCTTGATGGACATCTTTTGCTCGCTATCCTTCTGCATGACACTGGCTACAGCTGTCTCAAAGTCCTCCCAGGTGACATGGACTCGCTGTTCCTTCAGGGCATATTTGCTGGCTTCTCTGTATAAGACTTTCACTTCAGCCCCTGATGCTCCTTGCCTAAGCTTAGCAATTTTTCTCTGGTTAATGCCCTGGTCAGTTTCATTTTCTGAGAATGGATCTTCAAAATGTCCAGCTGGAATTTAGTTTTTCTGTTGATGTGTCCTGAGTGAAGCAGCGATAACTTTGATTTCCTGGCGGCCTCCCTCTCAGCTGTCCAGTTGATTGAGAACCTCCAGCACAATGTGCAGCACTTCACTGTCCCCTCCAGAACCCACTTCCAGCGGCACCGCCTTCGGTTGTGTGATAACCAGTGCTTCAAAGAGCTTGGGAAGCCTAACAGGTGGCTCGATCATTTCTCTCATGTCCTTAATCTGCTTGTCCAGTCCACCAATCATCTCCTAAATCAAGGCTTGCATCTTCTCCTTCTCCACCATCATTAGTGACACCAGTTGGTCTCCCTTGTTGGGTATGATACTGTGCAGTGTGTAGCAATCATTTCTTAGCACCACCTGGCAACTGGGTCTCTTGTCATTGATGCTGCTGTTTCTGTCCACATCTAATCCAAACTTGCCCTTGGGATACACCTTGACTAACACTTTCTCCTTATCCATGGCCCAGACTACTTCCCCCATACAGGAGCCCTGTTCCTGCAGCAGCTGTAGCTCCTCCTGCAACAGGTGAACTTCTGCATTTAGTTCATTCCTTTGTGTCTGCAGCCTCTGGAGGTCTTGCCTCTTATCATTTACAATTGACTGGAATTCTTCAATCTCAGACAGGTAATACTGACAGCCTGCTGCCTGTCTTCCCCTCTTCCGGCTCCATCTGCTCTGGTCCATCAAGCAACATCTTTCCTCTTCAGCCAGAGCTAATTTTCTTTCCGAATATAATCCTCACCATCTCCCTTGCTAACATCCTAGTTCAGTCTGCTATCATATATGTCAAAACTCCTACCCAGCCTCATGAGTGATAAGCCTGCTCCCTCCCTTGCCATCTGAAAACATACAAGACAACCTTTGATGGCTTCTCACTGAAAACAGTAAAGTCTTGATGCTACAAGCTGAGCTACAAGGTCTGAAATAACCTGGGCCTTAGCTCTGTTTGGTTCTCCTCTGAACCCTAGAATCCTCTTGCACTCAGGCACCCTGAGCAGTTGGACCCCTCCCACCTAGAATGGTCTTCCTTCCTTTCCCAGGAATGATGCATGATGTCTCCTTTTCGGTCCTAGTTCAAACGGCAAGTCCTCAAAGAGGCCCTCCCTAATTTGCTATAGCAAAGGCTGCACCTCATGCCTGCTCTCTGTCCCCCGCTGCACTCTCTCATCCCAGCACTGTCATTACATTTACCTGTCCACTCACTCACTAGCTCCATGAGGACAGAACTTCACCTTGAGCTTCCCAAACCTAGAATGGTGCTGGCATATGACAGGTACTCAAACTTGTTTAATGAATGAAAAAAAAAATTCCCTACTGCTTTTTCAGTATCTTCTTCCTTTTGGTTACCTCACTTCTGTCATTCTTAACAACTTCTCTCCACTGGGTACTTCCATCAACATACAAACAGCCCTCCTTTAAAAAGTCTTATTTGACAACAAAACACTATTCAGTGTTAGTTCTGTTTCTCTGCTACCTTTTGGAGCCAAAAATCTCACCAGAGTGGCCTCTATTCTCTTTCCCTTCTCACATAATAAAATGGCTCCTATCAAGGCTCTCTAGGGTGCTAGATCCCACCACCGGCTCTGTCCTCTTGATCTTGACAGTACTTTGCAAAGTTGATTATTTCTTCCTCCTTGGACACTGTCCTTTGCTGAGCCCCCAACCACCACTTTGTGGGTTTTCCTCCCACCTCTCCAGCAGCTCCTTCTCAGTCTCCTTCATCGAGTCTTCCTCTCGTATGTGACAATGAAGTATATTCACCAGGTTTGGGCCCAGACTCCTCTGTTTACTCCCACCCTACGTGGTTTTCCGTGACTTAAGGCTGATGATCTTTGTGTGTGCATGTGCAAGCATGCACATGGGTTTTTTTTTTTTTTATTGCTTTAATTTATTGGCACCTCTCTCCCATTAGTATGTAAGCTCCAGGAGAACAGCAGTTCTATCTGTTGTCTTCATTTCTTTATATTCCCAGAGTCTAGCACAGTAGCTGACACAGACTGAGTGACTGTATCACCACAGGATCAGTCAGGATCCAGTCATCAATATGGAAATATAAAGATTGGGAACATGTGGAATTGTCCTTTTCCACTTAGGAGACCCAGACACATCCACCTTAGAAAACCCTGAGAAATGGGGTAACTTCTACAATCACCTACCTGAGGAGAAAAGGTGTTCCAGGCCCTGTCTATTGAGACCAATTCTTTCTCCTTTGTGTGGAGCTGATCCCCATCTTCCTTGGCTGACAGTTATTCCATCAATGATATGACCCTCAACCGTTCTCTCCAACCTTTCCATTTTCCCTTAGCAGAAAAATGTTTTGTCCTATCTTGGACTCATATCTGCAGAACACAAACTATACACCAACTCCCCTCGGCTC